ATGTGTATGAATGTAAGTTAGGGACCTTAGATTATATGCCCCTTGAAGGTTAGGGACTGATGTGAATGTACAATATATATGTAAAGCATTGCGTAAATTGACAGCGCTATATAAGTACCGGAAATAAATAATCTCCTTATAAAGCACAACTCCAGCTAAATTTTTTTTTTTTGGACAGATCAGGAAAGAGTTAGAATGTCTGTCAGTTTTTATTGACTGTGCTCCTGCTGGGAGGTTTCCCTCATTTCCTGTTAGGACAAGAAGTAATGGTAAATTTCTCCAGTAAGGAGACAAACTAAACCAGATACACACACACAGGCAAAGTCCTGTCACAGGGACAGGAAGTGAGGGAAATCTCCCCAATGTGACACAGATCACAAAAAAAATTAGAAATGCAGAAAGGAGCACCAGACCAAAATCAGATAAAAAAGTTCAAGATCACTTTAATTGTTGGTAAAAAAAAAAAGTTATATGAAAGCAGCTAATGTGTTTCAGGGGCCACTTCCCTTTCATCAGGGATAAACACAGGATTTGCTGCTCAGCAACTCCTGTCAAATTGATTCTCCATGAAGGGAAAAAACTAAATATATTTAATGATGGACTTTACTGGTGCTCAGGAACATACCAATTGTTCTAAGAAAAAAGTTTGTTTATTACAACCATTTAAAAGAAAGAACAAATATCCATTAAAAAAAATATATGGTCATCACTCATATATACAAATATTGTTCCACATAAACATGATGTTCTTTCAATTCCAATATTCCAAAAGAGGTCAACGTGTTTCTCATATGTGCTTCCTTGGGACCTTCATTCAGAAATTTTTAAGGAGTGTGACCTATATCCTTCCTCTCCTCATTGCCTCTAGTTAAGAGGCAAGAAAGTGAAGGACAGCAGCAGACCCGTAAGCCATGACGTTTATCAAGGATGCTGAAAAATTCGTGAAAAACTACAGATTTTCAAAATCATTGGAGGCACCATCGGATTACAGAATGAATTATGTTTTTTTCGATTTTCCTTCGAAAAATTGTTCGGAATTCGACCCATGTATGACCTGCTTTAGAGAAACAGCATTGACTGTTGTTATACTTTTTTTTATCAACAATTAAAATGGTCTTTTATCTGGTTTTGGTCTGATGCTCCTTTCTGTATTTCTTTGGTTTGGGCTACTCTTGGGTGCCCATCAAGGGAATACTTGCTGTCTGGGAGCCACCTCACCAGAGCTATTGAGGTTGTTTGAAAATTTCCTTTTTCTGGCCACACTTGCAAGTCTAAAACTTCCTAGTGCCTCTTTTCTCTGTCCAAAATGAAAAAAAAGTTTTGGCTTTTGGTTTAGATTTTAACATGTTTTAATGTATTTCCTTGTATTCAGTATTATTTGGTTGGAAACTAACTAGCTTGGAAGTAACTATTCACATAGCCCATTTAATCAGTAAGACCTAGGTATGGTTCATATATAATTGTGGCCATTCCAAGCTCTTGGTACTTCCCCAGGTTACCTAGTTAATAATACAGAAGTGACGTATGAAGGTGAAAATGATGACCCTGTCATATTATATTTACTATTTGTAGGCTTTTAATTGATCAGACTGTAAAAGAGCTGAAGCCAAGCTGTGCAATCTTATTAATGTCCTCATTAAGCTTGGCTTTAAATTGAAGTACCAGAGCTCAAAGGCATGAAAGCAGGACTGCCCGGCAACCAGGTGTAATAAATTAACGCCGTCATTACAGTCTTTTTTGCCGTCCTAATTGAAAGGAAATATGTTTGTCTTCTCATTTTCCAAAGCATAATAGTATGCATCACTCTTTTTTACATATCTGTATTTCTTAATGAGTGAGCCTGCAAACACTGCGGAGAACTATCGGGATGTTAATTATGAAAGCTGATTGCTTCTGCATTGTTTCCTGATTGTGATTTATTCATGGTACTGTAAATCAGAAATTCCCCTTTGGAAAGCGGCCCAGGTGTTCCAGCATCAAAGGAGAAAAGCGCTATTGTTCTGCACACCCTTTGTCAAAGTGATACTCTTAATCCTACCTTAGTAGAGTGTTTTGGATACTTATTAGGAGGGTCATTGCAATGGATGCTACAATCACACAATACAGCGACAATAAAGAGGAGCTTTATAGAGTGTCTGTGGCAAAGTGTATTAACAGAATTCTCATTTTAATTACAGAGAGTTTATTTACTAGTCCTAATTAGAAAAGCTTTTTTTGTCAGTAAAATCCTTGTATATCTTAAAAAGTAACTCCTTTTGTTTGTGTATTCTCAGTTAATCTATTTTGCCCTCTAGTTTGGGGGAACTCCCTTCTTCTGCCTTGTTTCTTCCCTTGCTTATTTTTCCCCTTATTCTTCTCCTCTTCCCTCTCCCCCCCCCTTTTTATTTTAGTGTTTTTTGCTTTCAGTTTTGTTCAACCCATTTTCAAGGTGGACCAGCAAGTCCACACCCCAAAACCTTTTCTAGCCCCTGGGTCTAAGGACTCAGGCATCCAGTGTTGACCCCCAGCCCACTCTGGGGTTTGTTTGTTGTTTGACAGTTCATATTCTTTTGTACATCCTATGTTATTCATGCTATTCCATGATATTTATATTGTTTATATCCCCTGCGTGGGAATATTGTGGCTGTGTTTTCTCATTTGCATTTCAATAAAAAAATATTGTACGAGGAAAAGTAACTTCACTTTTACTGAGAAAAAATTGCGCATGCCTGTGGAATGGCCACAAACTATGGTACATTAAATTATCCATTAGGCGATGCTTTAAAAGCCTTTACAGATTACCAGTTTACAGTTACACAGGCAGTCTGGTTCTATAATTGTTGCTTTTGCAGCAATACCTCACATGTGTGGTGTGATTGCTGTTTACATATGCAGGAGAACGGGGGCCGGGGGGGTAAATTTTCTATTTATTTTGTTACTACTTATATTTAAAGCTTTTTTTTTTAAACTTAACACATAAATGAGCACTCAAAAGTGGTCCAGTAGTGCATAAAATATATACGTGAAAAGATATGTAAGAAAAATTAAAAAGAATGAAAAATAAAGAAAGATAAGTATATAGTCCCAAGAAAAGTCCAAAGAATGATCCTTATCCGCCAAACGATTCTTCAAACCTCTCAAAGTAACCACCAAGTGAGAAAATAAAATGGTGTTCCCCCTATGAGGTGTACACTCACCAGCAAGTGTTGCCTCCCACTCTCATGGCTGGCAAAAATGGCTCAATATATATCTCTTGGTGGGATAAAGGGTCTATCAATGCCGGTATGCTTCCTCTCCTCCACTTTCCATAATTGCCTATCCCCAAAAAGGCTGGCAATCTTTTCAAGTGATAATGAATTTCCAATATGGCGGCACTTAGGGTAGCACAAAGGAACTCCTCCCTCCTCTTAGTACTCTATACTCAGATAAATGGTCTGTTTATAAATCTGTGATGTCATCATTTATTACTGAAGCTTCCTTGATCCCCCTTATCAACTTTTCCAGCTCATCCAAAGCATCTGATCAGAATTAGGTCGGTGATAGCTTGTAAACAAACAAAACAAAAAAGAAAGTGACAAAATCCTTGTCGCTTCTAGTTTTTGACGTCATTGAAAAGGGGCAGGAACTTATTGTACATAGGGACACAGGGAATGCGACCTGAGTCTGGTAAAGACGGCAGCAGTGGTGATGGGGGGGGACCCCTTCCCCTGCTTGTAAAAGTGATCGAGGCGCTCTATAGGCTCTCAGATCACTTTTACCTCGTAGAGAATCACCTACAGAAAAGAACAATACCAGGATCATGACTGTAGCTGCAGCCATAATCCTGGTATGACCACTACAGTGGATTGTGGGTGCAATTTCGGGCTTCTGCACACTCACTCTTCAGCTTTCTGCCTGCACCTCTGTTCTGGCTTTCAGTTTGAAAGCTGGAAGAAGTGTGAATGGACTATGAATGCACTGATCAGGACACTCACAGAACAGTGAAACTACAAGTCCATCTGCGCAGTGGCAGGTGAGACTTGTAGTTTGTCTATTCACAGATCCCTGTAAATGAAAGACGCAACTAAGCGGGGGAGAGGAACCCCTACCCGCTGTGATAGGGTGTCATACAGGTGTAACATGTTTAAAAGGTGAACCTTTAACTTCCTCTCAACTCTGCAGCATCTCTAACTGTTTTTAAGCCCCATACAAGGTACTCTGGGCACCACAGAACACTCAGCCATGTTATAAAGATTATGAGTGGGGGATGTGTTCTGTTGTCCCAAAATACTTCCTGTCCTAAGGTGACAATGCTGCTTTTCCATATTTTCAGTAGAATTAGTGACCATTGTCACTCTAGGACAATGAATGTGCTAATAGCAGAATCTGCAGGAAAAAAATAAAGGAAAGAAAACCCAGAAAGAATAAAATATATGCAGCCACCACATCTAAGGACTGGTGAGCCGCAATATTGTAATTTTTTGGGGGGAAATGACATAGGATCTAGGCAAGCTCCTACCCATATCAAGATCTTTAAGGGAGGAGGAGTGAAAGGAGTGCCTACTTTGGGAAGGTAAAACAAGGCTGTGAAATAATTTTTACAGCCTGCAATAACACCAGCCACCACTAGAGGGAGATTCACCCAAAATCTAGCTGGCTGGGGACACACAGCACTAATCTTTCTTGCAATGTGGCGATTCCAACACATTTCCTGAGATTCCCCAAGTTATTCTGTTGCACTGTAACTTTAAACCCCCAGGAATTAATCCGGACACTAACCCTAAGTTTACTCTTACATAAAACCTTACTTTTAATATCAGTCCCCATAACTATCAGGATTGAAGGCTCCCGCTTCTACAACGTTTGATCATAGTTCTATAGGTGTGTTTCCTTTTTATCTGCTAAAATCTCCTCTTTTTTTATACAGTGTAGACCAGGGGATGTTTACTAAAGAAAAAAACCAGGATGAGGAATGTCGCTCATCAGTCATCACATACCATTGTCACAACAATAATTCAAAAGCCTACGATGCCAGGCAGAAGGAACATAAAATAGCCAGGAAGAAGCTGTACATTGCAGCAGCAATTTGCTTGGCATTTATTGCGGCAGAGATTGCTGGTAAGTACAAAATGCATTCTTACCTTAAGGCCTCATGCTTTTTTTCATTAGCTTTTTTTAGTGGTTTGCCACGTTAGCTTTTGTTTTTAGCAAGGAAATACCTTTTTTGCCATTTTGAACTCCCACTTTACCACAATGCACCTCTGAATAGTCATTCTGTAGTTGTTTAGTCACCGTTTTCAAAGCAGAGAGAGCGCTGTGTTGCTCAGGAGCTATCTTTCTTTTTCTTGGTTTGTCCATTATGGATCCTTTAATGCAGAAAATAGATGAGGCTATGCTACTGATTCTATTAAGGATGGTGAGGAGACAGAGACAGCTGCCATCAACGACCATTCTGGACCCATCCTTTGATCCCATTGTGTATCCTCCATATGTCCGTAAAAGGAATTTCCTGTTTGCACACAGTTTTGCTAACTGAGACAATGAGGCAGCAAAGGACATTGGGAAATGTTCCTGTTTGCACACAGCACTGGTCAGGCAATGAAGGCAAGAGCAGCAAAGCACACTGGGAAGCAAAGGACACTGAAGGAACAGTTCAGCCAGCTGAGACAATGAGGCAGCAAAGGACATTGGAAAGCAAAGGACATTGATGGAACAGTTCAGCCAACTGAGACAATGAGGCAGCAAAGGACATTGGGAAATGTCCATAAAAGGAATTTCCTGTTTGCACAACACAGTTCAGCCAGCTGAGACAATGAGGCAGCAAAGGACATTGGGAAATGTCCATAAAAGGAATTTCCTGTTTGCACAACACAGTTCAGTCAGCTGAGACAATGAGGCAGAAAAGGACTTTGGGAAATGTTAATTTGCAAATAGCACAGGTCAGACAATGAAAGCAAGAGGGGGGAAAGCACACTGGGAAATGTAGGAATTTACTGTAGAAAAATGGCAGTGTCCAAAAATATTGCTTTAAAAAAGCTTAAGTCTCAAAACGCTTAAACACTGGATAGCCATGTTTTTCAGAGATTTACAGCATTAGAACATTTGTACTTTAATCATATAAATATATTATTTTATATTAGGGAGACTTTTATGGAAACAATTGTTTTATTAGTTGTTCAGATGTGGAAAATAGTACAGGATCATCTGCAGAATAGGAGGATGTGGCTTTTAGGGCATGCACAGCAATTTAGAGTAGAAATAGTATTGGTCTGAAAAAATGGTATAACGGTTGCCAGGGAAAATGGGAGCAGTAGAAAAAGTGAGATGATGCCAAATGACCTCCAAGCTCTGATGAAGCCCCACCTTTTTGGGTGTAACGCGTAAGGTGAAGTCATGCTGAATGACATCATCACGCAATGCAGAAGGAATGGCAATACCGCTGCATGTTTGGTGTGTTGTGATAGGTGATAAATCTTGACTGGCCGCCATATTCCTGATCATGTCCAATGCCGGATCTACTGTTTTTTTAATGTAAATAGTGCAATGGTACATATTTTTTGTATATAATGGAAACAAAGCACTAGAAGCCTTCTTATTTTGTCTTTCACTGAGGAGGAGAGGAGGACGCAAGATAATATTATATTATTATACAGAATTTATACAGAGCCAATAGTTTGCACCAGGGGCGGACTGACAACTCATGGGGCCCATGGGCAATAGGGGATCATGGGGCCCCTGTGTCCTCGCCCACACTCAAAGCACACCCAAAAAGCCTATAGAAAAGGTGCCAGGGGCATTTCATGGGCCCCCTACTGCCCCAGGCCCTCGGGCAGTGCCCCAGTGCTCAAATGGTCAGTCCACCCCTGGTTTGCACAGCGGTTTATTAAAAAAAAGGGAGCATCCAGTAGTCCTTTGGGTGTAAATCACTGAAACCTGTCAATAGGAGGAAGATCAGGGGTTCCTGATAGCCACTGGGAGTTTCATTACATCAAACTTTTATAGACCTCTATAGGTGTGAGCACACATTTTTAGTTGAGCACATAGTGGTTTGTGATGGAAGACAGAGGCTGATTCCCAAGCAACTGTTTATTTAGAAGGAGTACTGTTCCACTTGAACAGGGTCACTGAAGGACCTGGTACTGAATTTTATGCACGATGGACTTTTATTGTATTAGAGACACTTGTTGATTTTGATGGTTATTTGCATTATTTCCTTTACTTACGAGTCATTATTGATGTTAATTGTTTTTTTTTTTTTTGTAACAAAATAATTGTTTCTGATAGGTAGTTTTCATTTTAGAGCTCTGCACACCTTTTTTCGATATTTATTAGTTGCTATGAGTGAATCTGATTGTGTTAGCTGCTAAGGTGTTCATTTTAATCATTGTACAGGTGGCATTGCTTTTTGTTGCATTTCTGTTCTTAACCACTTGAAAAAAATTTTGAACATAACAGACACATCCAAAAAACTAAAGCAAGGTTTTTAGGGTTCATCTCTTTACACTCTGATCCCCTCTTGCCAGCAATTACCGGCTTTCAAAATGACAGCCAGGAATTGCTCTGTATTACACAGCAGGAGCAGCTGTCAAAAATGCAGCCACTCCTGTGTATAGTCTGCAAATGTCATTTAGTAAATACAATGCAACAAGGTATTGTTTCAAATACACACTTTTTCATCTGATCTGCTTAATCATCAATTATAGCAGGATTAAACCATGAGCCTGGGTTCACATATATGCAGTGCCCGTATATCGCATGTGATTCACACAGGAACCGCACCGCATTCCTGTGCAAATCACATACGGTTTGTTTGCGGTGTGATTGGAGCCATACATTTTGTGTGGCTCTAATCGCACCACACCCGCACTGAAAAGGTGCAGGATCCTTTTTTGGGTCCGCACTAGAATCGGATCGCATGGGTATTCACACCTATGCGATCCGATTCTGCACATTGCACCACATTTTGCGGACCAAGCCGCTTTCAGGCTGTTGTTAACTTAACATACACACTTGGGGTGCGATTCTGATGCGGTGCAGAATTCACACTGAAAATGCTGCGAATTCCGTACCGCATCAGTGTGAACCAGGGCTAAAACCAAAATATATTAAATTGTAGCTTGACAATGTTAGATGTGGTGACTGTATTAGTTTTCTTTTTTAGTTTTTTCCCCTGCTATTTTCATCTGGTGATCCAGCCAGTAAGTTTGTTATTTGTCAACTTTTTAACAGACCAAGTTGGCCAGCAAAAGTGCAGTTAAGAGAGTTGAAGCGAACCATTTACCACTGACAGTGGTGTTTACAATAGTCAGCTTTTATTCATTTATGTAACATTTTTATCCCAAAAGTGGGGTTGGTAAACTGCAATATATTAACATTTTTTTTTGGGGGGTTAATACCACTTTACTGAGATCTTAACATTAAAAAAAAAAGTTTTTTTCCTTTTTTAATGAAAATTCCTATATAGTATTATTTTCATTCCCCCTTGTTATCCCTTAGTTAATCCTAATCAAACCCAATTAACTCCTTCCTCCCTATATTATTTCCATTTTTTTCTTTGTCATTAATATTTATTTATTTTGTTGTTATTGTGTACATTTGTTATTATTTTGCATATAGTGTCAAAAATGTGCAAAACTGAAAAAAATAACTTTGTCATAAAACTTTTTGTACCAAAAACAAAAAGTTAGTATCATTTTTAAACTGGGGATAACATAGAATAAGTGTGTTTTTTATTTTCAATAAAAACTACTTTTACAAAATGTTGCCAAAAGAATGCCTAGATTGTCCCCCAAAAAACATTGTATGCATTACTTTGTCATCTTACCCACATGGAAGAAAAATATATTTGAAATATATATTTTAAAATATTCTTTCCAAATATATTGATGTATACTTAAAATGCTACAATTTTGGCCATATTCAATATATATATATATAATATATATTGAATATGGCCAAAATTGTAGCATTTTAAGTTTTCACACAAATGAAGCAATACAAAGAGGACTGGATACTTTTTCATACAAGCACATGGTACAGCAGGCTCATATCAGGAATAGGAAATGTTGGGTTTACATATTCTTTGAGTGCTGCTTCATTTGTCTCCTTACTATTACCAAGTATATGAAAAGCTGAAACAATATATAAGGAAGCAAAGATGGCATGGTGCTTTTGGCACAACATATGAGAAAAATTATATTGGGCTTGGAAAATGTCTACTATATTACATAAAAACCCCATTTCATTTAAATCCAATCAGTATGCTTTGAAACTGCATAGCTGTCAATGGATCTAAATCAGGTTGAACAACCTGTGATTCTGTCTTTTTGTTTCCAGGTGGCTATATAGCAGGAAGCCTGGCAGTGGTGGCGGATGCAGCTCATCTGTTTGTGGATCTGTCCAGTTTCCTGATCAGCATCTGTTCTCTGTGGTTGTCTTCGAAGCCACAACAAAAAGACTCACTTATGGCTGGTACAGAGCGGGTACGCATGGCCATGGATAGGGTAAACGTCTTTCCAAGACCTGAAGCTGCTGACAGATCTTCCTTCTGCTGGAGATGAGCTCCATTGGGGTTACCACAGTCTTTCTCCCTGAATCCGCAGAGGCATGGATGGAGCGTATGGTCATTGAAATGCTCTTTACTTTTTCCAAAGAGAGTCCCAAGTCACATTTGTGATCCTGTCACTGGCAAGAACTCATGATATATCATATCTCCCCTGCATAGCAATCATATCATGAGAAAGTTTCTGCCAGCAGCAAGAAGTACAAGTGTGACCAAAAAGCAACAATCTTCTGGAGGTTGCAAATAAAATGTTCGATTGTGCTTGGGAAAATATAAAATAATCTATTAGTTGGAATCACTTAATAAAGTGGAACTAAAACTCATCAATTTTACTGTGTCTTCAAAACAGATACATTCAAGGCATGCTCTGAATGATAACTGTCACAGTTGCTTGTGCTCTCAGGTGAACTGCCAGCCATCAAATGGCTGGTGTCATAACTGATCACACGTGCAGCACCAGATCAAACAGAGGCTAAGATGGCAGCTTCCTTGGTTGTAAAGTATAGGAGGGTTTAGTTCCACTTTAATTGTGTACAATGGGGGCCAGCAACCAGTAGATTCTGATCTATCATTAGATCTCGGCCAGGTGACTGGTAGATCACAGTCAGGATGGTGACCTGCCATTGCAGAGCATCAAACAGAGTGCAATGCAGAGGAATTGCTTGTAAAGTTGGAGCTGTAGTAGGGAGCAAGAGCTGCATAAGTCAATGTCTCTTCTGTAGTGCTGGCTCCTATGCTGTGTCATGGTTTGTGGGTGTAGCATGTGCCAAGCATGATCCATTCAAGTGAATGAGGCCGTTCTGCAAGCCTTGTGCAGTACAGCAAACAAGGAGTAAAACAGGCAGCGGTGTGTTGCTTTCTCACCACCTTCTTTAACCCCTTGGACCCCACAGAAGCATTCAGCTATGGGGCACTTGCAGAGTGGCCCCATTTACTTGAATGGGTCTCAATTGACAGGTGGTAGCACCCACCAAAAGCAACAGGGATGTAATTGCTGCTGCGGCAGTGTACACCTTTGGCTGCTACCTCAGCAGATAAAGGGGGTAGGGATTGGGGGCAGTAAAACCATGACTCAACCACAGGGTTTTACCACACCTCAACTTTACATGTCAATAAGTCCTAAGAGGGATGCAACTAAGGGCTCATTCACAAGTGTACCAGGCACTGCTGCGTATGAGTATGTTTGACAGGTGATAAGGAGGCCTCACCACTTTATTTAAACCCTTGATTGTCGTGCAATGTACGCGATTGTGACACGGTACTACGGCAATTAGAGGTTTCAGGTGTCAGTAGGTGACACTGAGCCCGGTGATCTTTGACTTCTCCCATGTTGTTCAGGTAGATCTCCACCTCTGTAAAGTTGCCTACCTGTGGTTTACAGCCTCCATGCACCCCAATATATATGAATGTTGATTGAATTATGTTAACCATTACAAATGATTCAGGAAAGAGATAGTAAACTCTAAACACAATGGGGCAAACTTAAACCTATAGCCAATTTTTTTTTTCAGACTGGTTTAGTGATCAAGCCTGGGTAAAGGTACATTATGCTCCAGTCAAAAAGATTTTAAATGTACAAAGGGAGACAAAAGCTTATCATTTATGTTCAGCTTTAGTGCACAAAGCTACCCCACTGCTTAAAATTGTCTTGGGGCAATCAATTTGGTGCTCTGGGAACAGTTTTTCAGCCATATAAGCAGGTATTTCAGGTATTCTCAAATCCAAGCTATTTGTTCTCTATGGGAGATAACATTGCACAATATTGTCTCGTGACCTTATGCTTAAAGGATATGATGCTCTTTTGGCCCTGCTACTCCTGTGGGTCACAACAGTACATTTAATTCTGCACTCTTGTGACCCCTATTGAGCTGACAATGGGCAAAAGTCAGTTGTTGGCTGGCCAGTTGAGCCTCTGCAAGGATCCCGACTTTATTGTTGGGATCCATCCAGATGCTGGGGTGGCAGTTGGCTCAGCCTCTTAGCTCACTAAAAGCAGTTCTCCCCTCCACACAGCCTGGGGGTCCAGTGAATGCTGGAGGGTCTCATCAGCCAACGAGACCTGAGTGATCAGCGGTCTTTGATAGCTCATTTCTCGGTGTAGAGGGATAGCTGCAGCTGGGATCCATGCTGCAGCCATCTAGGTGAGTACGACTGTTTGTTATTTTTATAAACCCACACTTCACTTTTAATCCTATTTGACATGGCATCTGCAGGGATCTTGTAGCAAAATGGCAGTGTATTTCACAAAAACTCAACTTAAAGAAAATCTATAATAGGTTTGTACATATTTTGTTTCTCTTTTTATAATCAGGTAAGTATAATATATTGCATGCCACAATTTTATAATCTTCTATATAGCCAGCAGGTGGAGCTGTAGTCTCCTTTTCACATAGTCAGCTACTTCAGCTTTCTGCTTTGCTGAATGAAGCTTGATGTATACAGAAGTCTAATAAATCACAGCTTTAATTAATCTACATACAATCCAGTGCTCAAAAAAGACTGCTTATTATCAACTTTTGTAAGGATTAGAACCCCTATCATGCTTTTACTGCTGTCTTTGTCCAAATGTGGGCTTGTACTGGGACTGAAAGTGAAAGAAAATAAAAAATAAATGTAAAAACTCATCTCTTCAAGATGTCTATCCCGACACCACCTAAAAATACTTTTACTTACTCCACCAGCTTATGCTTTACAATCTAAAAAGGAGGGGCAAGTAATACAAACGTTAGTAACTGTGATCTCCCATGAGCAGGGCCCTCCAACCCCGCTTGCATTTAATTATATTGTAACTTTTCTGTATCCTTTCATTTTGTAGATTGCAAAGATCTCCTCATAGGTTCTGTTGCATTCCAAGGACTCAATGGGGTTGATTTACTAAAGGCAAATAGGCTGTGCACTGCAAGTGAACTCCAAGTGCATTTGGAAGTGCACTGCAAGTGCCCTGAAAGTGCAGCTGCTCTAGGTCTGAGGGGAACATGCAAGAAAAAATCAAATCAGAAGAGCTTCCCCTCGGATATAAAGCAACTGCCCTTGCAGTGCACAGAATATTTACCTTTAGTAATCAAACACAATGTGAAGGGAAATCTTTTCAATGAAATGCACACAGCAAAATATATACTGCCCAGGGATTTAACTACACTTCACTACTCTAACCAAAACTAAAAAAGTTTACACTTTATAAAAACTTACAAATAATCAAAGCCTATAAACAGCCTAACCCCCCTCTCAATCAATTAAAATTGCCTACAAATAACATTGAGTTGCCATCCAGAATTATTAGTAGTCACAAATGTCAGTATATAGTAATCAATTCCATACCACAGGGCATCTTGAATGCATATGACACATAAATATGGTTCTCTAGCCAATGATCATACTAGAAATCATTTAGGGCGGTCAGTGTTGCTTTGAGACTCCTGTGCGACCGTGCGGTGTGATTTTCATCCCAATTTGTCTAATGGGCTGAAAACACTCTGGATCGCACAAAAAGTAGTGAATGCACTACTTTTCAAAAAAACAGTGCACCAAATCACACGGGACTGCGGTTCCATGCAATCGGGTGAAGGCAAAAGCACTCAGTTTGTGATCTGCATTTGGGGTGTCTAATCCCTAAATACCTACTGCAGAATTATTGTAGGTAAAAACATACCCAGCTGCTATAAATCAGTGAAAAAATCTTGAAATAAAAAATAACTAGTTTGAGATAAAGTCCCAGGGCAAACCTACGTCAGCACCAAGAGTCCAGCTGTCCACAGTCCAGTGTTGCGGGGTGAATACCACTTCCTGAGTGGGACACAGAAAGCAACAAAACCTGACAGAGGTTCTAACCTTTCACTAATATATCTAAAACTGGAATGTTCTTTGGCTGGAATTACAATTTAAATGCTTATGCTGTATTAGCCCCAAACCACCCTGCAGTCCAACTCACTAGGGCTGTAATCATTCAGTGCTCACCTATTTGGACATTTTCTGCCTTGACAAAAGAATTCTATAACCAGCTTTCTACAAATACTTTTATTTATTTGTTTTAGAAATAGTTGGTGCCTTAATGTCCATGATTACCATCTGGGTGGTCACAGGCGTGCTGGTTTACTTGGCGTGTGAAAGAATTATACATCGTGATTACACCATAGACGGGGTAGTGATGCTCATCACATCAGCGTGTGCCCTTGGAGCAAATATTGTGTAAGTTCTGTTACTATTCTATAGTATACACCATCCTATGTATATACATACTGTACACCATATGATAATTATTCATTTTCAACTGTAAAACAATGTGGAAGTCTGCATGCAGTCACTTTTTATAAAACCTCAGGATAACAGTCCTACCTACTCTATCATGTTGGCAGTTGTGCAGGGTGTCTAAATATGACTGTGCAGTCCATGTGCTAGAGTTAGAACAGTGCTGCCAGCAATCAGAACTCAGTAACAGTCCTGGTCAGACACACCCCCTCCCTTCTTCTGCATTACTAGTTTGTTTGAGCACAATTGTGCTGAAGGGTGTGCCTGTTACTCAGCTCTGCCAGCACAGAGCACTGGAAAAAAGGAGAAAATCTATTACATTCAGACAGGCAGGCCCTTGCACTACATAGCTGTTGGTAAAAATAAAGGAGATTTCACAACCAGATTGTAATTTTCTAAAATCTTCTATCTATCTATCTAAGGAGATTTCATCTAACCAGATCTATGTAATTTATCTATCTATCATCTATCTTTCTTCTATCTATCTATCTATCTATCTATCTATCTATCTATCTATCTATCTATCTAATCAATTCTATCTACAGTAATTGGCCTCCTACTTTCTGTCGGACCATCGTGTTGTGGTTGGTGATCAGTCAGAGGAGGATGATGCTGGTTTGACACTCTTGGAGCCTACTTTTCCAAGAGGAGGGTGGGGGTAAGGACCTTTCCTAACCCCCTCCTCTATCCTACCCTCTAGCCCTTTTCTTTTTCACCTTTTCCTCTCCTCCCCCACCTCCCTGTTTTCCTATCTCTCCCGGTTTTTAGCCCCTTATACCCATCCTCCTCTGAGACAAGACAGGGTGGGTGGCTGTACAAGAAGGATCCTCCACACACATTGATTATTTTAATGACACGTTTATTTTGGCTTTCTGTGTTCTATTGTACAAGTTCATACACAAGTGTTTGCCTGATTGTAGCAGGTGCTTCTGAAACTCCTCCCCCCACCGGTGGTAGTGCAGCGGGTGCAGGTGGTGATGTCTCCCCCTCCCACTCAGTCCACTGCCACTGCTGCAGGGAGAGAGGCAGAGTGGCGCTTTGTATTCCTGGCACTTGCTCTCTCCTCCATCTACAGCACCAGGAAAAAGAGTGAGGATCGGAGCAGCTGTGACAGGGAGATTCATCCACTCTCTTGACCCCCCTCCCTACTAGCAACAGCAAAGGACCAATCATAGAGGAGAGGAGCAACATTGGATATGTAGTCCCCTGGAAGTGCTGACCATTGAGATATAATGGGACTGGAACTACAACCTCCAGCTAGCTTAGCAGGAGAAAACTGGATTGAACTAGATATCCTGCCAGAGCAATTTGGATTCTCTCAGAGTGTGACAGGAACTGAGTGTGACAGGATGCTGTCAAGGAAACGCCATCTAAGAGAGAATGAACCTGTGTCAGGGGAGCCCATAGCCATGTGAGGGACAGCCAGAGGGTACAGACCATGACCGAGTACTAAAGCACAAAGCTACCTAGGTCACAGGCAACCCAGAGTGAATAGAAACAAGATTGGAAAGACTACTGCGGCCGTGCGCTTGGCCTGGTACGATAGCTTTGTGGTCGCTACTTGTTACCACTGTTAGGGACTGATCCATTAGGAATTACCTTCCAGTTACTCCATAGATCTAATACTGCCTGCAGGTCTTGTTGACTACCTTAACGAGGCACCAATGTTTAGCCGGCTGAAGAGCCAGGACTACAGACTGGCCCTAACAATTGCTACCCTGAGGCCTTGCACCTTTGTACTTGGTTAAAGAGGTACCTCTTAAGAGACACTATATTCTATCCAATTCCTTAGAGTGCACTCTAGCCTAGTGAAGTATTATTGTCATTTATACTACTTTTAATGTTTATTAAACTGGAGTTGCAGTGAAACTGTAAAAAAAATAAAAGTCAGCAGCTACAAAAACTGTAGCTGCTGACTTTCAAAAAAACAGACACTCACCTGTCCCTCGGTCCAGTGATGTCCTCCCTGCAGCCCGTTTGACAAGCTGTCCCTGTGTTTCCGCTGCCAGCATTTTCAGTGTGGGCACCCGGCTGTGACAGCTTGCGGCTTTTGGAATGGTCCTGTAGTCTTCTGGGACCTGTCACATGTCCTAGAAGACTACGGGGGGGAACAACTTCTGCTTCCGATCGCCTATGCAAAGTGGGAGCGGGTACCTGTCAGTTTTGGGTACCCACTCCCCCCACTCCCCAAAGGTGGTAATCCATAACAGGGAGCAGGGGACCAGTTCTTAAAGTGAAACCTTTTGGGTGGTTATTGGATATATTGGTTATTGCTGATTTACTAACTTGTCCTTTTTGATCCTAGTTAATGGTATAAACCTGCTTTTTGCTAATTTGGCATAGTTTAGCAGACTGTGTAATGATATATATGTGGTGTGCTCAGTTATGTTCCATTTGTCATTGGTTCTAACCCATATCAATAGATTAAGAGCATTTACCGCTAAACAGGTGTGTGTCTATTTACTGTCAGCTACCCTCTGCCAGGCTACATGTATTTTACACTTCTATCTTTATTAATTTTTTCAGTGATTGTTATTCAACCAGGTATGTCAGAGGGGCAGAAGTTGTCCTTGGAGTCGAGGTGCAGAACAGAGAACCCAAAGTTACCAAGCGGCTCCTTCAGGGGTGGTGCTACATTGATTAATATAAATTGTCAAGCTGTATCTCTTCTTTAATTTTACTGTGCATGCAAAATTTTGTATTGAAGGCTAAAGATGTTCAAAAAGTTGCCATTAAGATCCCAATCTCATTACATTGTGACTTTTCTTATCTTTCCTTACCTGAACAGTTTGGCTCTGGTCCTCCACAATGCTGGACACGGTCACAGCCATGCCGGGGATCAGCATCAACATATGGCACCTGATTACAAGCCTCAGACTAATGCTAGTATACGTGCAGCCTTCATCCATGTCATTGGAGATCTGTTCCAGAGCATCAGCGTGCTAATCAGCGCATTCCTCATATACTTCAAGGTCAGATCATCTCAGGGCTGAAAATTAAATCAGAGTCAACCACATGTCCTTCATAGAGTAAAGACAATTGTGTATTTTGACAAGGATATGAGACGTGCTTAAAATGGTGCCCTGTTTAATTCACATTTTCCAAACTGTACAATCTGTTTCAAATTTAAACCAATGGAAGACTACAATTTTAGTTTTCCCCCAGTACATAAAAGGTCAGACCATCCGGAAGTGATATTTAGTACAGCATATCCCTGAATTCTTAGACAATACAGTGGATACTACAACAATAAGCTTACCTTGCAATAATGACCATCCTCGATCCTGTCTACCTGTTTGTTTTTGATACTCCTTCTTACCTTTGTTTATCCCAATGCTATTGCATTCTCCATATATTAAAATATAACAACTCTCCAGCACTTGCCAGAAACTGAAATATCCGTTTGAACCTTGAACCCTTTAACCAATTCTTCACGCACTATCTAACCAAGGGGGGGTCCATTTAGCAGGAGATTTTTTATTGTAGTGGATGGTGCTTCATGTAACTAAGTCTGTCCATTGTATCCATCTGTGTGAGTTAGTTTGTAGCATGAATTCTTCAGGTGTTTGTTAGCTGGTGTCAATATCAGCAGGGGAACAGGAACAAGGGTAGCAGAGTCTGTGGTTGCAAATGGGCACAAGGTGTTCTATAGGGTCTACCTAGCTATAGCTAAGAACTCCATTTGTCAGCGTTTTACTGAGCAAATAAGTTGTTAAGTCACTTGTCCTGCAGGAGACATACTGTGAATGGGATTATAGAAGTTGAATGAAGGTTAGGTTCATATAGGTTGCAAGGAGCTTTTTAGGGGTTGGGGATGTTGAGAATGAAACAAAAGGCACAGTATAGGAACAGGAATCTAATTTTTTTAATGTCTTTTCCTTTTTCTAGCCTCAGTATAAGATAGCTGATCCTATCTGTACTTTTATATTTTCCATTTTTGTCTTGGCCACAACCATCACCATTCTACGAGATGTTTTAGTCGTTCTAATGGAAGGTAAGAAATATTACAAAATCCCTTCGCAAACACATGCACATATACCTGAAAGGAGTTGAAGGCATCTGAAAGGTCATAGACCTTCTTGGAGCAAAGCCAACCTCGAGATTCCCACTCTCTGGTTGTGGTGTTTTGGAAATTTGGTGCACTGATCCACTTTTGGACTGAAATAGGGCTCTTGTCAACCAAATCTTTAAATGCCAACCAGAAAGCTTTCCATCAAGGTCCAGGGATTAACCACTACTTCCATATTAAAGTGACACTGTTGCCGGGGTAAAAGGGTGTAACAGAAGAAGCTGTCTTAAAGAGTTTTGGATGTCCCATCCTACCCATTTAGGTGTGTCAGATCACTTGTCACCTGCTAGATGACATCTACAACTACATCATTGCTATGGGGAAAAAAACAGCACCCAGTAGGGCACACATTGTCCGAATTACAGCATCTGGAGCTCAGTAAGATATTTCCTTAACTTAACACCCACCATAAAATATGATTAAACTTCTACTATATAATAACTTAATTGATATTATAAAAAGAAATGAAAAAAGCAAAAATAACACTGTGAAATGAATAAAGCATGTAATGGGCATGTGCACAGAACAAAAAAAATGTGTATTTCAGCCTCCTTTTGACATCCTCTGTTAGCTCCCAAACCTCTCCTTTCCTCTCACTTCCATTTGTTGCATGTGTCAGCCTCCATGTGACATCCTCTTGTAGTGCCCCAACCTCTTTTTTTACCCTTACTTCTGTTTATTTGTGTTTCAGCTTCCTTGAGACATCCAGTGCCTGAGCCACATTGGCTTCTTCTGGACACAGGAGGAAGAATCCTCCAGACTGGAGTCACACAGCTCCCATTCTGTGGGGAAGAATACTACAGAGCCATGGTTCTCAGGCACTGGATGTCACAAGGAAGCTGAAACACAAATAACAAAAGTGAGGGGAAAATGGAGAGGTTCGGGTGCTAACAGAGGATGTCACAAGGAGGATGATTAAATACAACAAAATCCTCCTGCGCTAATAAAGGAAGTAAACCCTAATCAATAGCTGCTAACACTCTGAACTGATGCCAAACCAGTGTATAATTGTTATAAAAAATAGTGTAGCGCTTCTGGAGAGATATTGAAGGTGGAGTGATATCAGTCGGTACTGTGAAGGATCCAAGGTGATCCTGAAGGCTTTCTGGCCCTTTGGGGTCGCAGAAAGGAGGTGAGGAGGCACTGCAGCTGGAGTGAAAGAAGTGTGCTGACACTTTCAAGAATTAAGCACTAATTGCACGTTGCATGTTTTTACGAAACACTTATCAATATATTTTTGGACTATCAAAGTGTTTGGAATGTTCTTTTATATGCTTTGAAGTGGCACTATCACGCTGTTTGTTTGCATTCCCATATATAAGGGTCTCGATCATTGTTTTTTTGTATATGTCACTGGTATAGGTCACTTAGATGACCTTAGCACAATATTTATTTGTCACGGAGATATATGTTTATTTATTTCTATCACTTTCACTAGTCACATAAGTGACTGAGGCACCTAGTTATTTTGGCACATCATTGTATGTTTATTTAATCATTGGTATTTAGAAGCGCTACACTATTTTTTTATAAAAAGGAGGATGATATGTAAGCCTGTGTAGCGGGGTGGGCTCCCCAGGATACAGTGAAGTCACAAACGAGGAAGGCAACCCCAACACCAGCTTTTGCCACAACAGAATTTTACTTAGATGTGGCAAATAAACACAACCACAAATGCTGGAAACATACAATAAATTTACATCCACCCAGCCCAAAGGCTGAGATCCTTGTACTGCACAGCACGGCGCCTTCTGATAGATGAAGGTAGAAAGTGAAGTAATTTACCTACTGAGGGGCACAAATAAGCTGCCGCACCTTACCTGTTACTATCCTAAAAGAGCAGGAATCAGTGTATGGGTGTATGGTATGGGCTAGCCTGCGGTGCAGCACAACAGCTTACAATCTTACACAAATCTACAGTATTCCCTCTCCCATAACTGGTCACGTAGCACGTGCCTGAGTATTCCTTCTGAACAAAACACCAGTCTGGCTTGAGTTTGTGGGATTTTATCAGCTCTCCAATGTGAAATGTCACTTTAAGTTGTGGAGTCCTTCCAATAATCAGTAACAACACTTGTGGCCTGACACAAACAGAGACCCTAACTAACTAACTACAGGCCTGGACTCAGTCTCAAGGCGCCAACACTGAAATGAGGTGCGTGCACGATCTTACCGACCCGAGTCTGCTTTGCATCCCCTGGTGACTCTGAACAGAACAAATGTCTCTCCAACAAGCATGCGATCTTGCCGTATATGTTGCTTAGTTCCTTTGGTCTCATCAGCTTCCTGGCAGCAATCGCATCAGCTTCCTGGCAGAAAACTCATCAGCTTCACTCAGCTGCAGGTCTGGTTACCGAGGGAATGCATGCACACCTGGATGTCATCGGATTCTCAGCTCACACGGCCCCTTCTTTCAGCATTGTCCAAAGCATGGCTGCAGTCTCCTCTTCCTGTTCACTCCAACTCTGAGTGCAAAACCCCACCTCTTCATGAATATACAAATATCTGTGCAGTCTGAGGCTGTGTTAGAAAAACAGTGACATCTTGTGGCTAAACCGCAGAATGTCAGTCAAAACATTAATTTACTTCCACACAGTGTTCAAACAATGAGAGCTGTTTCCCCATCTCACACATACATGCAACAAATGAGGGGAAAGGAGAGTTTGAGAGCTAACAGAGGATGTCACAAGGAGGCTGAAATACATGTTCTATTCTATGCACATGCCCATTACATGCTTGACATCGATGTTCCATATGGAGTGGGTGAATGCTGTCTGAACTACGTTTGGAGGCTGTGGAGGAGGTTGGAGCGGTTGCCATTTGATCATATTTGTGACTTATTTGACCACTCTATAACATGATGGTCAAATTTATCTGGTAAGCCTCCCTTGAGCACTGAGTGGGATGACACGTGCTGCACGTGGGTGTATCTGATCACCATATTAATTGAAGATATATGACTGCATGTAAGGATATTTTACACTGAGTGGGGTGATACGTGCTGCACTTGGACATATATGATCATCCTAGTGATTGAAGACATATGATTGTATTTAAGGACTTTTCACAGTGTCCTTTTAAACTGGGACTTATTTATTAATTTCACGGTGTTCTTTTTGCTTTTTTCTTTTCTTTTTATTATATCAATTGAGTTATTATATAGTATTCACATTTTTAGCTCTGCACTTTTATATGTATGCTTTGTATTTTGTGTATCAGAATATAGTGCTGGCAGCTTATGCTTGTATGAACAAGCACGGATTCTGATGCCACTTCACACATGATTAAACTTCTGTTTTTAGAGGTTGGGTTGGTTTTATTACACCGTGATGATAGGGGTCACTGTAATGCTGCAGCCCAAGGGATTGAAACTGAGGTAGGCAGAGGAACTGATCCAATCAGTCAATGGCATTTTTTTTATCAAAGCGTAATTGAACAAGCTGCATTTTGAAGCTGATAGGGCTACCATGTACAGCTGATTCTGAGTGCTTCAGTTTTAGTAAATCAATCCCAATGTCTGCATCACACACTTCAGGTCTCTTAGCCACATTGTTGAGTTGGAAATAATGGGGGATCGCTGGCCTGTCACACCCAGGAACGAGAACAGTAACATTGAAAAGCTTTCAAGACAGCAGGCAGATCTAGAGGGTTGCAAAACTTTCTTGTCTGCTCTCTACCTCTTCTGCACTGGCTTTGACTGCCAACAATGGCTGTCTGCAGGCCTTCATTTATCTCTGTAATTAGTAGAGGACAGCATGTGCGCAAAATTGCCCCTGTGATTACAGGTAGGGCACACAGGCCTTGGGAAATCTCTGCTTAACATAGAGATGAAGGCCTACAGACAGCATTGAGCTTCAGTGTTGGAGATCAAGAAAGGAGATGTTGGAGCTTCATGTACATGAAAGGACAGCAAAGGCAGTTTCTGACATTAAGCCTGTCAGGGCTCCAGGTATGACCAGAGGTGTGTGGACTGACACAGGGAAACGCAGGCTTCAGATATGGTATAAACAATATAATTTATTAAGACTAACAATACAAAACGCAGTGCAAAACTAAACATACACAGTGCAAACAAACCAAACCAAACCACCCACCGATAACAATACATACAATACAAAGAGTAGTCAGGCAGGCCGGGTCAGTAGCAAACGGGTAAACGGAGTACCAGGAACAGGCGGGGAGGGAGAGTGGTCGGGGTCACAAGCTGGGTTCAGTAACTCACGGGCAGCGCGGTGCAGAGGGTCAGGCAGAGAATGGTCAGGGTCACAAGCCAGGGATCAAGCAGGAGAAGTCAGCAGAGGTCAGGATCAGGCAGGGTCGGCAACAAGTCAGACAGGAACAGGAATACAGGATACAAGGTACAGGGGCCCATGGAAAAACACACACCAAGGCCCTGACTGTGAGTCTGGCCTTTCCTTAAATACAACCTCTGCAATCAGTTTCAGGTGTTTGGCTGATTGCAGGGGTGAGTCTCTGATTGCTGAGAGCACCCGCTGGCCAGCCCTGGTACTGCAGCCCACAAGGCAGGTGAGTCCCACCATTATTGGCAAGTCCATTCCTGACAAAGCCTCTGTAAATTATAATTGAACCCACCTATCTTTTACAGCCAAGAAAGATGCCAACGTTGTATCTGTTTAATCTGCAGTTGCTATGTTGCTGCCCAAGTGATCATTTATGATACCAACTGTTTCATATCTTGACAGTTTAATTGAGAGCACAAGCAGTTGTAATAGTTATCATTCAGAGCATGCGTTGAATGTAAATGTTTTGGGAAACAGTTAAAAGAGAAGTGCAGGATTAAAAAAAAAAAAGAAGCAAACTCACCTAGATGGTTGCAGCATTGATCCGATGCTGTATCTGTTCCCCGCTGGCTCTGCACCAAGAACTGAGCAATGAAAGGCCATTGATCACTCAGTTCCTGATCTTCAGTGAGCAGAGAGCAGAGATTATCAGTCACCAGTTCTCTGCTCTTCCCCTCCAGCGCTCACTGGAGCGATGGGATATGGAGGAGGTGGGAGCCACTGGCTCAGGCTCTCAGCAGCATGCAGAGAGGCTGAGCCAGCTGTCAATCAGGCATCTGGGCAGATCCTAACATTATTGCTGGGATTCCTGCAGAGCCTGGACTGGCTCTGTGATGTCACAGGAGTACAGAACTAAGTACACTCTTGTGATTCAAAGAAGTATGGTCAAAATAGCTTCTCCTTTAAATTGATGGGTTTAGTATCACTTAATGGTCCTGCAATAGGCACAGGGATCACAAGTACGGCACTATTTATCCCCAGAGATCTCAACAATGCATAAAAGGGTGCCTGTTGTTAACATCAAATGAACAGTCTATAGATTAAAAACTGGCTTTAATCTTCATTTCTAAGAACTCTAATGAGAGGTTGGAGATTGCGATCTCCCGTGTTTCATTGACGATTTTAGGGCAACCGCCCATCTAACAGGAAATCATTCTACTTTACAGGAGTTCCTCGTGGGATTAATTACAGTGTTGTGAAACAGAGTATTCTTACTGTGAATGGGGTTAAATCAGTCCACAACCTTCATCTCTTGGCTTTAACAATGAATCAAGTCATCCTCTCCGTTCACGTTGCCATAGGTCAGTAACTGTATGTGTACCAGGAACAAAAGTTCAATTGTTGCGCAATAAAGCTACTTTTTAATGTTCTTTTATATGAAGGCTTTATCTGTCATTCAATCCTGCAGCAGCTTTCATCAGAATGTGATTCTCTGCTACCACCAGCCGCTCAGCTCTGGGAGCTTTCCATCAGGGAATAACAATGCCTCGGGTTCTGAGTGACCTGTCTGCTGCTGCCTGGAACACAGCAAGCCATCACTCATATAGTCTGTGAACCAGAGGCTTTATAGTGTCTGACAGGGGAACTGGACAAACTATGGCAATGAACATTAATAAACATTGCTCAAGGCACGACTGAACCCAAGCACAAAAATGTAGTATATTGCAGCCATCACCTTTGTACTGCTGTTATAACAATGATGTTATAAAATGAATGGGCTGAAATCGCATTGCACCCAGATCACATGTGAATCACACAGGAACGGACAGTGTGTTCCTGTGTAATTCATGATGTGAACCAGCCCTTAAGGTAAAATAAAAACTATTTTGACTTTGGAATCACTTTACCATCTAATACTTCTACTACTGTCATATAATATAATATTAAAACAAAAAATAATTATATATATATATACACACACACACACACACACATACATACCCTACATTTACAAAAGTATTGGAACACTCCTCCAAATCATTGAATTCAGATGCTCCAATCACCTCCATGGCCACAGGTGTATAAAATCAAGCACTTAGGCATGCAGACTGCTTCTACAAACATTTGTGAAAGAATGGGTCGCTCTCAGGAATTCAAGCGTGGTACTGTTATAGGTTGCTGTGCAATAAGTCCATCCGTGAAATTTCCTTGCTACTAAATATTCCACCGTCAACTGTTAGTGGTATTATAACAAAGTGGAAGCAACTAGGAACAACAGCAACTCAGCCACGAAGTGGTAGGCCACGTAAAATGACAGAGCAGGGTCAGCGCATGCTGAAGCTCACAGTGCGCAGAAGTCGCCAACTGTCTGCAGAGTCAATAGCTAAAGACCTCCAAACTTTGTGTGACCTTCAGATTAGCACAACAACAGTGCGTAGAGAGCTTCATGGAATGGGTTTCAATGGCCGAGCAGCTGCATCCAAGCCTTACATCACCAAGTGCAATGCAAAGCGTCAGATACAGTGGTGTAAAGCTCGCTGCCACTGGACTCTACAGCAGTGGAGATGTGTTCTCTGGAGTGATGAATCACACTTCTCTGGCAATCCAGTGAAGGGAACTCTTAAGGCATCATCATACCAAGGTATTTTGGACAATTTCATGCTCCCAACTTTGTGGGATGCCCCTTTCTATTCCAACATGACTGCGCACCAGTGCACAAAGCAAGGTCCATAAAGACATGGATGAGTGAGTTTGGGGTGGAGGAACTTGACTGACCTTTGGGAACACCTTTGGGATGAATTATAGCAGAGTCTCGTCAGACATCAGTGCTTGACCTCACAAATGTGCTTCTGGAAGAATGGTCAAACCTTCCCATAGACACCACTCCTAAACCTTGTGGACGGCCTTCCCAGAAGAGTTGAAGCTGTTATAGCTGCAAAGGGCGGGGCCAACTCAAAATTTAACCCTACGGACTAAGACTGGGATGCCATTAAAGTTCATGTGTGTGTAAAGGCAGGCGTCCAAATACTTCTGGCAATATAGTTATATGTATATATGCAGAATATATAGATAGATACAGAACACCCTCCTGAAATTTCACATGCTGCTCATTTGATTGGCTCACTGCTAAGAATCTACAATTAATCATGAAAGTAGCCAGGTTTTCTCTCAATAAAAGTGGGGTTTTATTAAAGTAGGAAAAGTAGCAAGTTTGCAGTATTTAGCACTTGTCTTTCATAGGTTACCTCAGGACCACAGTACACAGGGACATATTTCTGCACCGTCAACATAGGGTGTGATATGTTGGCAAGACTACCAGTGGCCACATACAAACATCCAGACATCATGTTACTGGCAGTAACACATTTCTGTGCATAATGACAGATTCCTCCATCCATGCTATACAGTGAGGATAGACAAATTACTCACTGCTTCTATTGTATTTTGACAGCTGCTTCTGCTGGCTGTCAGAATACCCAAACAGTGGCTGTATCTGTAGCCGCTGCTTGCCCAACAATTTTCTGCCCGGCTCTTTTGATTTTTTTTTTCAAGTTGGTTAACAGGGATAAGCTTTAGCAAATAATATCTGGTTCATCAGGAACTGGACGAAATTCAAACAGCGTATTACCAGTTTAAAGACTAAGGTCACCATTAGAGATGAGCGAATCGAACCAGGCGAACCGGAATTCGAGTCGAATTTCAGGAAATATTCGATTCGCGTCGAATCCGAAATTTTGCCTACTTCGGGTGCGCGAATCGAACATTTCCCGATCAGCCGGCAAAAGTGTCCCTGCAGTGAGCTCCGCTATTTCTGACAGTTCTCTGACAGAAGGAACACATGTTTAGCGGTTGAAACATTGTATCTATTAGTTTCCATTTAGGATACAGATGTTTCAACCGCTGTACATGTGAAGAAGCTGTCAGAGAACTGTCAGAAATAGAGGAACTCTGCACATACACTTTTTGCCGGCTTGGAATTATTCTTTTTTCATCCTACTTCTTCTTCTTCTTCTTCTTCTTCTTCTTCATCCTCATCCTCATCCTCTTCTTCTGAGGTGCAGAGCTCCTCTAAGTGTATCTGCAGAGCTCCTCTAAGTGTATCTGCAGAATAGAGGAACTCTGCACATACACTTTTTGCCGGAAACCGCTGTATGGAGGGAATGTCCCATAACTGTCAGAAATAGACTATTTCTGACAGTTCTGGGACATTCACTCCATACAGCGGTTGAAACATTGTATCTATTTTTTTCCATAAATGACATTCTGCAAATACACTTAGACACTTAGAGCGCTGCAGATACACTTTTTGCCGGCTTGGAATTAATCTTATTTTCATCCTACTTTTTCTTCATCCTCATCCTCATAAGAAGAAGAAGAAGAAGTAGGATGAAAATAAGAATAATTCCAAGCCGGCAAAAAGTGTATCTGCAGAGCTCCGCTAAGTGTATCTGCAGAATGTCATTTATTGAAAAGAATAGATACAATGTTTCAACCGCTGTATGGAGTGAATGTCCCAAGAACTGTCAGAAATAGACTATTTATAACAGTTCTGGGACATTCACTCCATACAGCGGTTTCAACCGCTGTATGGAGGGAATGTCATAGAACTGTCAGAAATAGACTATTAATGACAGTTCTGGGACTGTCCTTCCATACAGCGGTTGAAACATTGTATCTATTTGTTTCCATAAATGACATTCTGCAGATACACTTAGAGGAGCGCTGCAGATACACTTTTTGCCTACTTCTTCTTCATCCTCATCCTCTTCTTCTTCTTATAAGGATGAGGATGAAGAAGAAGAAGAAGAAGAAGTAGGATGAAAATAAGATTAATTCCAAGCCGGCAAAATGTGTATCTGCAGCGCTCCTCTAAGTGTATTTGCAGAATGTCATTTATGGAAAAAAATAGATACAATGTTTCAACCGCTGTATGGAAGGAATGTCATAGAACTGTCAGAAATAGACTATTTCTAACAGTTCTGGGACATTCCTTCCATACAGCGGTTGAAACATTGTATCTATTTGTTTCCATAAATGGATCCATTTATGGAAACAAATAGATACAATGTTTCAACCGCTGTATGGAAGGAATGTCCCAGAACTTTCATAAATAGTCTATTTCTGACAGTTCTATGACATTCCCTCCATACAGCGGTTTCAACTTAATCTTTTAATTAATCTTATTTTCATCCTACTTCTTCTTCTTCATCCTCATCCTCATAAGAAGAAGAAGAAGAAGTAGGATGAAAATAAGAATAATTCCAAGCCGGCAAAAAGTGTATCTGCAGCGCTCCTCTAAGTGTATATGCAGAATGTCATTTATGGAAAAAAATAGATACAATGTTTCAACCGCTGTATGGAGTGAATGTCCCAGAACTGTCAGAAATAGACTATTTATGACAGTTCTGGGACATTCACTCCATACAGCGGTTGAAACCGCTGTATGGAGGGAATGTCATAGAACTGTCAGAAATAGACTATTAATGACAGTTCTGGGACATTCCTTTCATACAGCGGTTGAAACATTGTATCTATTTGTTTCCATAAATGGATCCATTTATGGAAACAAATAGATACAATGTTTCAACCGCTGTATGGAAGGAATGTCCCAGAACTGTTAGAAAAAGTCTATTTCTGACAGTTCTATGACATTCCCTCCATACAGCGGTTGAAACCGCTGTATGGAGTGAATGTCCCAGAACTGTCAGAAATAGTCTATTTCTGACAGTTCTGGGACATTCCCTCCATACAGCGGTTGAAACCGCTGTATGGAGTGAATGTCCCAGAACTGTCAGAAATAGACAGAAACTGTCACAGAACTGTCCTTCTTCTCATCCTTCTCCTTCTTCTCATCCTTCTCCTTCTTCTCATCCTTCTCCTTCTTCTCATCCTTCTCCTTCTTCTCATCCTTCTCCTTCTTCTCATCCTTCTTCTCATCCCTCTTCTCATCCTTCTCCTTCTTCTCATCCTTCTCCTTCTCCTTCTTCTCATCCTTCTCCTTCTCCTTCTTCTCATCCTTCTCCTTCTCCTTCTTCTCATCCTTCTCCTTCTCCATCTTCTCATCCTTCTCCTTTTCCTTCTTCTCATCCTTCTCCTTCTGCTTCTCCTTCTCCTTCTTCTCATCCTTCTCCTCTCCTCTTCTCATCCTTCTCCTTCTTCTCATCCTTCTCCTTCTTCTCATCCTTCTCTTTCTTCTCATCCTTCTCCTTCTTCTCATCCTTCTCCTTCTTCTCATCCTTCTCCTTCTCCTTCTTCTCATCCTTCTCCTTCTTCTCATCCTTCTCCTTCTCCTCCTCATCCTTCTCCTTCTTCTCATCCTTCTCCTTCTTCTCATCCTTCTCCTTCTCCTTCTTCTCATTCTTCTCCTTCTCCATCTTCTCATCCTTCTCCTTCTCCTTCTTCTCATCCTTCTCCTTCTGCTTCTCCTTCTCCTTCTCCTTCTTCTCATCCTTCTCCTTCTTCTCATCCTTCTCCTTCTTCTCATCCTTCTCCTTCTTCTCATCCTTCTCCTTCTTCTCATCCTTCTCCTTCTCCTTCTTCTCATCCTTCTCCTTCTTCTCATCCTTCTCCTTCTCCTCATCCTTCTCCTTCTCCTTCTTCTCATCCTTCTCCTTCTTCTCATCCTTCTCCTTCTCCATCTTCTCATCCTTCTCCTTCTTCTTCATCCTTCTCCTTCTTCTCATCCTTCTCCTTCTCCTCATCCTTATCCTTCTTCTCATCCTTCTCCTTCTCCTTCTTCTCATCCTTCTCCTTCTCCTTCTTCTCATCCTTCTCCTTCTCCATCTTCTCATCCTTCTCCTTCTTCTCCTTCTTCTCATCCTTCTCCTTCTTCTCATCCTTCTCCTTCTCCTCATCCTTCTCCTTCTTCTCATCCTTCTCCTTCTCCTTCTTCTCATCCTTCTCCTTCTTCTCATCCTTCTCCTTCTCCTTCTTCTCATCCTTCTCCTTCTCCATCTTCTCATCCTTCTTCTCATCCTTCTCCTTCTTCTCATCCTTCTCCTTCTTCTCATCCTTCTCCTTCTCCTTCTTCTCATCCTTCTCCTTCTCCTTCTCCTTCTCCTTCTCCTTCCTGATCTCCAAGGGCATTTAAATTAAAGGTACAGTGTTCTGCACTAATTTAAAGGCTCTCTGAAGCCTAGAAACCCTTTTTATAAGCCATCTTCGTAGCGAAGAAATTCGCATCGAATCGAATTTCATACTGGAATTCGCCGAATCAGCCGAATCAAATTTTTCAATACTTCGCTCATCTCTAGTCACCATGTTACATCTAGACTTAGGGTGTAACATGCAACATGGTGCAAATGCCTCCGCTCCAGTGCAGTAATCAGCATGCTCATGGTCCATTGAGTCTTCCTCCAGATCTCAAAGTCTGGATTCGTTCACCCACTCCTGCTTACATGTCAGATTTTGACAGAAAAAAACAAAACTCCAGTCTTTTGCAAAAGCATGCATTTTTTTTTATAAAGGTGAACCTAGTTTTTAAAGTGATGGTAAACCCTCACATACACCCAGTGAAGTGACTGCCCTTAAGGTGATACAAAGAGATGAAGTAATTCCTCCTACATACGTTGTACCTGTTTATCTGCAGTCTTCTTTTCTCTAAATCCTTTCAAAGTGCAGAATGTATACATTCAAAGAACAGAGGAATACGGCTCAGGCAAACAATCCAGATCAATCCACGACAGGTGCAGGCTCTGGCTCTCCACCACACACGATGCAACAGGAAGAAGGGTCAGCCGCACACCGGAGGATTGATGATGGGGTAGGATCTCCTGGACACAGACTGTTATTGACAGTCTCAGCTTTGTTCTTGTGTGATGTGTGGAAAGGTTGTGTGCCTTCCCTCCCATTTTCTACTCACTGAGCTCTGCACAATGTTACGTCAGATCCCCACCCCATTGCTTTCTGAAAACTCGGGCAAGCTGTATACATTCTGCAGGAAGAAGGGTCAGCCGCACACTGGAGGATTGATGAATATAGTGTATATTTATTGATCCATAGGACACACAAAACACCAGAACATGAATACAGGACCTGTTAATGCATTTCACACGATCATGTTATGATTAAGCACGAGATCGTGTGAAATGCGTTGACAGGTCCTATATTCATGTTCTGCTGTTTTGTGTGTCCTATGGATCAATAAATATACACTATATTCATCTATCCTCCGGTGTGCGGCTGACCCTTCTTCCTGCAGAATGTATACAGCTTGCCCGAGTTTTCAGAAAGCAATGGGGTGGGGATCTGGGGTTACATTGTGCAGAGCTCAGTGAGTAGAAAATGGGAGGGAAGGGACACAACCTTTCCACACATCACACAAGAACAAAGCTGAGGCTGTCAATAGCAGTCTGTGTCCAGGAGATCCCACCCCTGTCACCCTTTTACCACTTGGTGTCAGGAAAACTTTTCAGAAGGGACTCCTGCAGATAGCAGAGGAATGAGGCAGCAGACAGATATGACACTTAATGCTCTGAACCGAGACAAGTACACACTATAGAGTGACATATTTCATGTTTGAGTGGAGATGGATTAGATCATCTATAAGGCTTTTTTTTTTGCAGTCTAGGAAAATTCACCCATTGTGTGTTTCCTGTTTATCATTATCATTGAAAGTGAAAGTAAAAGAAAACCCCAAATTATGGGTTGTCCCCAGAAAAGTAATAGAGGGGAAATCTTCCAATGGGGACACTAGTTCTGGTGACCTGGGGGGGTCCCCAAGGAATTCCCTTAATTTGCAGGGATTTTCACTCACATGAACTGACAGGGGTTATAACCCTCCATTACTCTATCCAAAATGAAAAAACAGTGTTTTGTCTATAGTTCTACTTTAGGGCTACAGAGTCTACTGGTTTAGGAAGGGGACAGGACAAGACAGTATTATGCACTACTCAACTACTGGGCCATCATGCTTCTACTGGTTGGGTTCTCAAAATTGCTTGGTCTGCACTTTGATAGAGAGAAAGAGATATTTAAAAAGTGACCAAAATTGTATTTACTGTAAATAAAAAAGTAGAAAAAAGAAAGCAAAACATAGATTTGGGAATTAGGACACTTTTACTCTGTTGCAGGAATATCAGTCCTCAGTCGACTGGGAACAACTTTGGTGCTTAATCAGCAAGTTATGTTTTTCCTCATTCCTGTGCGCATACTAATCAGTCAGGTGGAAATAAATTCAGATAAAGTATGTCAGGCTCAAGAGAGTAAATAAAATTGTATGTATTACCTCAACCAAAGTCCTAAACCCGAGCATAAATTCATATGGAAATTAGAAGCTAAATGTTCTTTCTTTAAAAACACAACAGAACGAAAAAAAAAAAAAACCAAAAAAACACAAAAAAACAAAACAAAAAAAAAACAAAAAAAAAAAAAAAAAAAAAAAAAAAAAAAAAAAAAAAAAAGAAAAAAAAAAAAACACAAAAAACCAAAAAAAAAAAAAAGACAAAACAAAAAAAAGAACCAAAGAAAAACAAAAAAAAAAAAAAAACAAAAAAAAAACAAAAAAAAAAAAAGAAAAAAAAAAATAAAAAAAAAAAAAAAAAAAAACAAAAAAACAAAAAAAAAAAAAAAAAAAAAAAAAAAAAAAAAAAAAAAAAAAAAACAAAACAAAAAAAACAAGAAAAAAAAAAAAAAAAAAAAACATTGACTTGTGAAAGGGCTTATGTAATGTTTTCCATATAGAAGCTTGTCTTGCCAGTTAAAGTGGTAGTAAACCGCAGCTTGAAAAAAAAGTGAAAAAAAAACCCTGCAAGGTAATGTCATACTGTGCTAGTATGCGATGCATATTAGCACATTATGAAGGACTTACCTTAAAACGAAGTCCTCCAGCGGCACGCTGTCACTGCTGCAGAGGCTTCCATCTCCACCCGGTCTTCCTTCTGGGTTTGCGAGCTCCGGCCGTCTGACTGGTCGAGTTGCAATAACGTCACTCCCGTGCGCATGCCCCGGGCCAAGACATGGAAATGTTTTACCATTCTTCCAGAAGCGCGTTTGTGAGGTCAGGCACTGATTATTATTACAGGTACTTACATAGCGCCATCAGTTTATGCAGTGCTGTAAATATATATTGTACGTTCACATCAGCCCCTAACCCTCAAGCGGTGTACAATCTAAACTCCCTAACTTACATACATACTAGTGCCAATTTAGACAGGATTCAACTAACCTACTAGCATGTGTTTGGAGTGTGGGAGGAAACCGGAGAACCCAGAGGAAACTCATGTAGGCACAGGGAGAACATGCAAACTCCAGGCAGGTGGTGCTGTGGTTGGGATTTGAAACCAACGACCCTAGTATTGCCAGGTGGAATTGCCACTGTGCTGATGTTGGACAAGAAGGCCTGGCTTGCAGTCTCCACTCTAATTCATCCCAAAGGTGTTCTATCGGGTTGAGGTCAGGACTCTGTGCATGCTGGTCAAGTTCCTCCACCCCAAACTCGCTCATCCATGTCTTTATGGACCTTGCTTTGTGCACTGGTGCGCAGTCATGTTGGAACAGAAAGGGGCGATCCCGAAACTGTTCCCACAAAGTTGGGAGCATGAAATTGTCCAAAATGTCTTGGTATGCTGGCGTCTTAAAAGTTCCCTTCACTGGAACTAAGGGGCCAAGTCCAACCCCTGAAAAACAACCCCACACCATAATCCCCCCCCTCCACCAAACTTTACACTTGGCACATTACAGTCAGGCAAGTACCATTGTCCTGGCAACCGCCAAACCCAGACATGTCCATAAAACTGGCAGACAGAGAAGCGTGATTTGTCACTCCAGTGAACACATCTCCACTGCTCTGGAGCCCAGTGGCTGCGTGCTTTACACCACTGCATCCGACGCTCTACAATACACTTGGTGATGTAAGGCTTGGAGGCAGCTGCTCGGCCATGGAAACCAATTCCATGAAGCTCTCTACGCACTGTTGTGCTAATCTGAAGGCCACACAAAGTTTGGAGCTCTTTAGCTATTGACTCTGCAGACAGTTGGCGACTTCTGCACACTGTGCGCTTCAGCATGCTCTGACCCTACTCTCATTTTACGTGGCCTACCAGTTTCTGTTGTTCCCAGTTGCTTCCACTTTGTTATAATACCACTAACAGTTGATGGTGGAATATTTAGTAGCAAGGAAATGTCACAGATGGACTTATTGCACAGGTGACAACCTACCACGGTACCACGCTTGAATTCGCTGAGCTCCTGAGAGCGATCCATTCTTTCGCAAATGTTTGTAGAAGCAGTCTGCATACCTAGGTGCTTGATTTTAGACACCTGTGGCCATGGAGGTGATTGGAACACCTGAATCCAATAATTTGGAGGGCTGGCCCAATACTTTTGGCAATATAGTGTGTGTATATATAAAAAGAGCGTGAGTCACTCCCTTGTATATCTCAATCCAAATTCAAAAAGAAACAAGATTGTATCAATGGTGGGCTCCCATTCATCCACCAATATAAACATCAAATGAACTGAGGATACATACTCCAACCTGCAATAATCTTTACTTCAAAGAAGCATCATATACATTACAGTCCATATGGCATATAGCTTTGAAGTAAAGATTATTGCAGATTGGAGTATGTATCCTCAGTTCATTTGAGATATATATATATATACTTTTTTTCTTTTTGCTATAAAATAGTAAGAGGCTCAGGTTGACTTGGTATCATGCTCTTGCTAAACATGTACAGAAGATCTCAAACTAGAAGAAAAAGAAGCAGCACAAGGAGCCAATTAGTTGTGCTACAGTACTCATATACCAACAAGTAGCATTCTGAAAGGATGAGAGAGTAGAGTGACAAAGAGATGAATTTGTCAGTTTGCTTTTTCTGCTTCACTGGCTAGAGGAAAAACCTGAAAGGTTGAATTGCATAAGAAAAAAAATGAGGACCCTTGTCCTGCCAAACAGAGCTGTTTTTTTATGGCAGAGCTGTATATTTCTTCAGACTGGATGGGACCTATGGAGTGTGGAGATAATAGGAATTTTACAACCCTGCTATGAAACAGGCTTGAATAGCAAGGTTGGACTTACCAGCTTTCCTGAATCTTTCAGCTTAAAATGGTTCTAAAGGTAAAAGGTAAAGGCCTCGGTCATTGTAGCGTCTGGTTGTGTGTGCTGGGGCCGGAAGTTGATGTGAGGTTGGAGAGAGCTGGTGTATCTATCCTGGGAGGTCTGGAGTACACATCACTTACCTGAGAGGGGAACCACAGGAGGAGTAAAGAGGATATCAGATACTGCTGGCGAAGGATCTAGGATTGATCCTGGAGGCTTAGTGGCCCATTTGTGTCACAGAGTGGAGGTGAGGGGGCATTTTAGCCACGGAGGATAAGTGTGCTGACACCAACACAGAAACCATCACTTTCATCACTCTGCATGAATTTTTGTTGTTTGAGCACTATTTGGAAGATTTATGAACTTTATAATTTATATATATATTATATATATATATATATATTTATATATATATATATATATAGCATATACACATATATTTTTGATATTTTGCATCTGAATCAGTTTGGTCACATTTTTGCACTGGTCACTTTAAGTGTGGTTTATTTATATATTTGTTTGAGGGGTTGATTTATATATTATATCACATATATTGATGAACTTTATTTTTTGAATGGAATATATGTATATATATATATATATATATATATATATATATATATATATATATATATATATATATATATATATATATTATATTTTGCATCTGAATCAGTTTGGTCACATTTTTGCACTGGTCACTTTTAGTGTGGTCATTTCCAGGTATGTATTTGTTTGAGGGTTGATTTATATAATATATCACACAAATATTGATTGTTATATAAGGCATAGGTTCTGATCCATCAGGACCTCAGGTCACACAGGATTTGAACACTTTTATTTGAGCACATGGTTGCACTGTATTTATATAGTATTTTGCATCAATTTTTTAGTATATTATTTATATGATATGAGGTTGGTTTATTTAGCGCTACACTATATTATTAATTAATTAGTTATTTCACTGATTGAGGTTCAGTTTTGAGTGTGAACTGCTTTATAATATATATAGTTTAGGTATACTCCATATAAGCGCAGGAGAACTTTAAATATATTTTTACTGGGTCATTTTTTGTTTCGAACAGTCAGCAGGCTGATTGAAATAAACTGGACGGATTTCCTATCCACACATTGGAAGTGGATGGGGAGGAATCCTCCCAGCTGCGCTATTGTATTCTGAAAGCGGGGACTCTTCCGCTGTCAGAATACACTGATCAGCACTACAGCTAATCGGCTGTATCCACTGATTGGATTAACATTTTCTAACATTGCCTTAGAATAAAGTAAATCTTTAGATTGACTTCTGTCAAGTTGGAATGGCAATGGATGGATCGAAATTTGACCAGTCCCCACTGAATCCCCATTGCAATCCATCTTTGTCAACTTTAGAGAGGATCTCCCTTACTGAAGATATTTTATCTCACTTTGTTATATCTCAAGACACTATGTAAGGAAACATCTTTGAAACAGAAAAGTGATGGCACAAAAAAGACCAAGTGGTCCATCAAATCTGCCCGTTTTGTTTTCTTTCTAATTGTATACATGTTTTTGTATTTTTTTGTTTGTTTGTTAACTCTTTTGTCTGAGTATAGATCTTTGTTTGTCCTAAGCATGTTTGAATAACATGGGAACATAACCTCAAATGTTCCTAACGAGACACAGGAAGCAAAAAAAAAAAAAATAGTGTGAAAGGGTCTACCCATCCCAGTTAGATCAAAAGAAAAAACAATGTAAAAAGTTTTGGCTTTACATCTACATAAGGAACTAATACATTTTTTGTTAATATACCATCTATAACCAGCCATCCCTTTTTTTTAACAGAGACTTCAGATGACTCTAAAAGAATTTTAAATGAAGTCACGCGGAATGTTTTTGACAATTTCCCCTTCCACTCGATCACTGTACAAATTGAATCAGCAGAGGAACAGAATCCTGAGTGTATATTCTGCTATGAGCCCACTGACTGAGCCAAAAGTCCTTCTACCAGAAAAGGGACTGTCCTACAGTTGCAAGAAAAAGTATGTGAACCCCATGGGATTACGTGGAGTTTTTGCATGAATTGGGCATAAAATGTGCTCTGAACGTCATCTAAGTCACAACAATAGAAGAACACAGTCTGCTGAACATAATACTACACAAACATTAGATGTTGCCATGGTTTAATTGCACATAACATGTAAACATTCACAGTGCAGGGAGGAAAAAGTATGTGAACCTTTGGACTTAATAACTGGTTGACCCTCCTTTGGCAGCAATAACCTCAACCAAACGTTTCCTGTAGTTGCAGATCAGACCTGCACAAGGATCTGGAGTAATTTTGGACCACTCCTCTTCACAAAACTGTTTCAGTGTAGCAATATTCTTGGGATGTCTGGTGTGAATCGCTCTCTTAAGGTCATGCCACAGCATTTCAATCGGGTGGAGGTCAGGACTCTGACTGGGCCACTCCAGAAGGCGTATTCTGTGCTGTTGCAGCCATTGTTTTGTTGAATTACTTGTATGCTTTGGGTCATTGTCCTGTTGCATCACCCATCCTCTGCGGAGCTTCAGTTGGCGGACAGATGGTCGTACGTTTTCCTGCAAAATGTCTTGATAAACTCTGAAATTCATTTTCCCATCAATGACAACAATCCGTCCAGGCCCTGAGGCAGCAAAGCAGCCCCAAACCATGATGCTCCCTCCGCCATGTTTTACAGTGGGGATGAGGTTTTGATGTTGGTGTGCTGTGCCTTTTTTTCTCCACACATAGTGTTGTGTGTTCTTCCCAAACAACTCAATCTTGGTTTCATCTGTCCACAGTATATTTTGCCAGTAGCGCTGTGGAACATCCAGGTGCTCTTTTTTGCAAACTTCAAACGTGCTGCAATATTCTTTTTGGACAGCAATGGCTTCCTCCGTGGTGTCCTCCCATGTACTCCATTCTTGTTTAATGTTTTCCTTATTGTAGATGTGTCAACAAAAATGTTAGCATGTGCCAGAGATTTCTGTAGGTCTTTAGCTGACACTCTGGGATTCTTCTTTACCTCATGCAGCATTCTGCGCTGTGCTCTTGCAGTCATTTTAACAGGACGACCACGCCTAGGGAGAGTAGCAATAGTGCTAAACTTTCTCCATTTATGGACAGTCTGTCTTACCGTGGACACATGAACATCAAGGCTTTTGGAGATACTTTTGTAACCCTTTCCAGCTTCATGCAAGTCAACAATTCTTGATCGTAGGTATCTGAGAGCTCTTTTCTGCGAGGCATGGTTCACATCAGACAGTGCTTCTTGAAACCAGTAAACCCAAAACAGGTGTATAAAAAGGGGGTATGTAGCGCTACAAAATTACAAATAAAATGTCATCATATATCATCACAGAAGTACATATTGTCCATAAAGTGTATCCGGAGGGCAGACGGATAAGATCCTATGGTGTCCCCAATCCAATCTGACAGAACGAAAAATGTATATAGTGCGGTTATGCGCTTACCACAATTACATACAATATGGGCATTGTATGTAAATCAGCAACAGGACATCACGGTCTGGTCAACAGCATGAGCAGCATCTGGTCATGTAAGGACATCAAGGCCAGTGGGTCCAACGTTGTCCAGGCATCCAGTGGCTCCTTATTCCAGATCACCACCTTACAAAGCTCATTAAAAACGAGCCAGGAGGCAAGAAGGTATCAATGGTGAAGTACGTTTATTCAGAGTAAAAAACCAAACAAAAGGAAGGAACTCACATCAGCATAGAAAGGTACATCCAGGTGTCATTCTTAGGTTCCCTGGTGGCTAGTAGTTCCACCAACATAAAAGGCTTGCATCCAGGTTTAATTAAAAAACCCTGGTGGCTAGTGACAGAAAGGGACCATATATAAATATATATCCCACAGATCCCAGGGTTAAGATGACCATCCAGATCCAATCAAAGAATTCCCTGGTGGTTAGTGGTTCCCTGGTGGTATAGGCGTCAATAGGGTGGATCCCCTAACATGTTTCGAGCACACCGCTCGTTTTCAAAGGGGTAGATCCTGCCCTAAGACGCCAGATTTAAATGACCGCGGTCACGCATGCGCAGTAAGCGCCACGCGCCGCCGGGGCGCTTACTGCGCATGCGTGACCGCGGTCATTTAAATCTGGCGTCTTAGGGCAGGATCTACCCCTTTGAAAACGAGCGGTGTGCTCGAAACATGTTAGGGGATCCACCCTATTGACGCCTATACCACCAGGGAACCACTAACCACCAGGGAATTCTTTGATTGGATCTGGATGGTCATCTTAACCCTGGGATCTGTGGGATATATATTTATATATGGTCCCTTTCTGTCACTAGCCACCAGGGTTTTTTAATTAAACCTGGATGCAAGCCTTTTATGTTGGTGGAACTACTAGCCACCAGGGAACCTAAGAATGACACCTGGATGTACCTTTCTATGCTGATGTGAGTTCCTTCCTTTTGTTTGGTTTTTTACTCTGAATAAACGTACTTCACCATTGATACCTTCTTGCCTCCTGGCTCGTTTTTAATGAGCTTTGTAAGGTGGTGATCTGGAATAAGGAGCCACTGGATGCCTGGACAACGTTGGACCCACTGGCCTTGATGTCCTTACATGACCAGATGCTGCTCATGCTGTTGACCAGACCGTGATGTCCTGTTGCTGATTTACATACAATGCCCATATTGTATGTAATTGTGGTAAGCGCATAACCGCACTATATACATTTTTCGTTCTGTCAGATTGGATTGGGGACACCATAGGATCTTATCCGTCTGCCCTCCGGATACACTTTATGGACAATATGTACTTCTGTGATGATATATGATGACATTTTATTTGTAATTTTGTAGCGCTACATACCCCCTTTTTATATTTATGTTTAGGTACTGAGGATTACCCTGTATGTTAGCTGCTTGTCTTGTCTGTTTGCGCTCACTTACCTTACCCTACCAAAACAGGTGTGTGTTTTTTAAGGGCAGGACAGCTGTCAGGAACACATCCAATATCATCACACTGATTGGAGTCAAGGTTGGCTCACTCCTGGCTCCAATTAGCTCTGGGAGAAGTCATTAAGATAGGGCCTCACATACTTTTTCCTCCCTGCACTGTGAATGTTTACATGTTATGTGCAATTAAACCATTGCAAAATCTAATGTTTGTGTAGTATTATGTTCAGCAGACTGTGTTCTTCTATTGTTGTGACTTAGATGACGTTCCGAGCACATTTAATGCCCAATTCATGCAAAACTCCACGTAATCCCAAGGGGTTCACATACTTTTTCTTGCAACTGTACATCTGCTCTACATCCTACCTACAATAACAAAATACAGACAATAAACTTGTGAAATGTCTAGTAATCCCTTGATGATGGTCCATCTATATCATCTGGCAGTACAGAATATTACCTGGCAAAGATAACTTGGAAACTCTAGATGACATATAGAGACGACGATCATTGACCTACCTTCACATGGATGGAAAAACCTATAAGGTCTTGGGTCACAGAATATTACCTGGCAAAGATAACTCGGAAAATCTAGATGACATATAGAGATGACGGGCATTGACCTGCCTTCACATGGATGGAAAAATCTATAAGGTCGTGGGTCACAGAATATTACCTGGCAAAGATAACTTGGAAACTCTTGATGACATCTGAAAATGTCACGCATTGACCTGCCTTCAAATGGATGGGAATACTTATAAGGTCTTGGGTTACTTCTGGACATTTCTGATGGATGCATTTGTTGTATTTACAATGATAATTGGTTCCAGATTTAGTCATATTTACACTTATTAAAAGATTCTGGTAATTTGTAAAGCTTCTTTATTTTTAATGTGTGGTCGGGTCTAACTGTGTGTCAGCGATTTAATAGGACCAGGCAAGACAACATCTTCTGGGAAGATTCTAGTTTTATACAGTGAACATAAACAGTACAGCAAAGTGGCAACAATTCCAAGCATCTGTATGTACAAAGCACCTTACAGTTCTGTAACAAAGCAGTCAATATGCAGAACCTAGAGGCGGCAGTTTGACAGAGAAAAACAGGTCTCCTTAGGTTCTTGCAATCAACCTCTTTGATAGGGTGCTGCTCTGGAAAATAGGGTACGATCATATGTCAATCCAGATTCAGGCTTGAGCATGCGGTCCTTCTCCAAACTCAGAGAAGTATTCCAAGGGAACTCCAGACCTTCCCTGCACTGTCCCTGCTCCTTAGGAACTTTTCCCTGCTCTAGTCCTATCTCTCCCTAATCAGCATGTACCTATACCTATCTATGTACAGTACTCCCCGCAGTGCAGGCACACCAGACTGACCAAGAAGGGGCAATATGCCTGCTTGGTCTGATCATCGTAAGCATCCCTGTCAGTGTTAAATGGTTTCTCCCATACCTGTAAACTGATACATTCCGCTGGAGAGCTTGTTCTTTTGAAAAACAACAGACTTACTGGCTGGATCACCAGAGGAAAATAGAAGAAAGAAAGCCTAAAAAAAAAAACTCATTCATCACATCTAAGAATTGGTAAGCTACAAAATAATAAATGTTTGCTTCTGGGTTTAATACTGTTATAAAAGCTAAATAAAAGGTATACAGTGCGATTCTTGTGCAAATTACATGCGGTGTCTCGCACCACGTGGTGTGAACCTGGGCCTAGTCTGATAGCCAGCATCGTTCACACTGCTTCCTCTGAGTTGTCCTGGACCCTCTCCAGCCTTTGACTGGATAGCGGAAAAAAGGACTAGCACAGTGATGAGCTCATCTCTCTATCAATCTGTTCTCTCCTCCTATCATCATGTTACTTGTCAGCACATAAACTGATTGGCTCCTTGTGCTGCTTCTTCCTCTCACACTCCAGCCCTGCTGTACAGGGACAACAAGAGGCTAACAGCTTCTTGACAGCAGGCAGCTCAGCCCACACACACAGAGAGGACACCTGAACTGAGAGATCCCACACAGTGACAGATCCCACACAACACACCACCA